GAGCAACCCGGTCTAGTGGGAAGTGTCCCTGCTCTTGGCAGAGGAGTTGGAACTAGATAATCCTTAAGGTCCTTTCCAACACAAGCCATTCTATGACAACTGTTTTCAATTTTTTTTTTCTTTTTCAGCGGTTCTCGGGACTCTGAAGCACCTACACAGTTGAGTGCTGGCAAACCCCATCATCTTTCCTTCCCTTGCCTTTTGCCTCCCTCATTTCTGAGGTGATGCCCAAAGTGAAGCGGAGCAGGAAGCCTCCCCCGGATGGCTGGGAGCTGATCGAGCCAACGCTAGATGAGCTGGATCAGAAGATGAGGGAAGGTAAGCGGCAGAGCTGGGTCTTCTAGGGGATGTGACCCTGAAACAAGCTAACCCATAACCATTCTCAGCTTCTCCTGCAAACAGATTGAGGTTTTATTGTATCTGTGCCTCGTAGTGATACTGCAGGCTGAGACTGGGCCAGCACTGGGTGCTTTTCTCTGGGTCTACACTGGTTACAGAGCACCGAGGTTTGGTGTGCGATTGTTTTTGGGCACACTGTGGCCGAGCCCTGGCTGAAGCTCACCAGTGCATGCGGAGGGACTGGTAGTTCTTGTCCATGCTGTTTCCCTGGTCTGATGAGCCAGGGCAGCCATGGAGTCACCGGCCATCCCAGTGTGGGTCATGTCATCCTGTTTTATTTCCTAAAGGAGCTGTTCCAGGTCAGGTCCCTTTTGTTTCATCTCCTCCACTTGGTCTTACCCTTGTACTGTATTAAAGTTATGAATGTTCTTGGAACATAATTGTAAGGTGATTAAGGAAATTACTTGATTGCCTGAAAGGGTCAGCTGAAAGCTGGTTTGTGTTCCTTCCCAGCGGAGACTGAACCTCATGAAGGGAAGAGGAAAGTAGAATCCCTTTGGCCTATCTTCAGAATTCATCACCAGAAAACGCGCTACATCTTTGACCTCTTCTATAAAAGAAAAGCCATCAGCAGAGGTGAGGAATGCAAATGTTTTACCCTGGGCAGGGGAAAACAGAATGGAGTAATATGTCTGCCCATGAATGTGCCTGAACTGGGACATTGGTGGGAAGGATCAGGGTTCTGGCGGGGAAAGAGGGAGGGAAAGCTGGCAGCTGCCTGGCTTTAATTGCTGGTTACTACAGCTGGTAGTTTCTGATAGCTCTTAGGAAGTGTTTGAATATTACTTGTGATGGGGTCTGCTTCTCTACAGAGCTCTATGAGTACTGCATCAAGGAAGGATACGCTGACAAAAACTTGATTGCAAAGTGGAAGAAACAGGGTTATGAGAACCTCTGCTGCCTGCGATGTATCCAGACACGGGACACCAACTTTGGAACCAACTGCATCTGCAGGGTCCCCAAAAGCAAGCTGGAAGTGGTAAGAGTTAGCTTGTTGCTCTGCTTGTCTGGGCAGGGGAGGTAGTGCTGTTTTTTACGGTAGTTTCCCATAGTTCTAGTATTTTCTACCTTTGCTGGTAGAGTTGGTATCTCAAGGCACGAGCCTGCTCTCTGTCTGCTCATGTAGCTTGGCTGAAATACCCTCCTCCTGCTTCTTTTCCAGGGGAGGATCATTGAATGCACTCACTGTGGATGCAGAGGCTGTTCAGGGTGAAGCCTTTAGCCCCAAGACTGCTTTTTGAACTCTGAGGGATATCATCCTACGCAATGGACTATTAGCACAATTACAGCCACCTTCTGCGTGATTGGTTACTTCTCTACGGCAATTAAAACTGCAGCATACTCATCTGGATCGCATATACAGTGGTGGTTGGTTGGGAGTAGGTTTTCGTGTAGTCATTTATTTTAAAATAAAGGCTGCCCTCCTGAGAGAGTGGCGTGATCTCCTGACGAAGCATTTCTATGCCCCTTTCCTTCTTGAAATGTTTTGGTTGGTTTGTTCGATGGTTGTTCTACCCGCTCTAAGGTGTCCTAAATGTGGGTGTTTGTTTAACCAGCTTTTATCCCTCTTTCTCACCTAAATGAATATAAAAGGCTTTGTGGAAAGATTCTCAAATGTCCAGAGTGATTCAAGCGCTCCTTTTGATCTTGTGTAGAAGGAAACTAAATTTCACTGAAACCCTCTTGCTAAGGTTTGTAACCTGGAATTAGAAAAAAAAAAATGCCAGCAGTCTATTACAGTCACATGTTAAGTGCCCAGATACACACAGAACACAGGAAAGAGACAAAACAGGCACTGAGTGAACCACTGTGAAATGTGCTTTTTGCTTCTTCGTTGTTTAGCGCTGGATTTGTAAACTACAGCCTGTTTAATCCTCTGCAGTTTAAGTAAATTTCCTGGAAATGTATTTGCTTCTCATTAAAGAACAAGTATTTTATTATCCTTTTACTGTAAGAACTTAGGCTCATGCGAATACAAAGCAGCTTTACTACAAGACCATTTAAGGGAGTGAGTCCCAAGTTCCTCCAGCATGTGGAAGGTGCAGGATGGAGTGCCCTGCTCACGGCTGCTTCTGCCCCCGCTCG